CATAACTCAACTAATCTTAATCGGATTTTGAAGTGGCATACCTCTAAATGTTTCTGGCGCAATTCTCTAAAAATCTGAATTCAAATTAAGAAATATATTTAAAATTTTTTTTTTTTTTTAGGTTTTCCCACATTTAGTATTTCTTGTTTGCTCCCATTCTTTAAGACCTTTTGACGTTGATAAGTATTCTGATTCATTGACATACAAACTGTGAGTGTGTGGGTATTGCGGCGGCATTTACTTAAATTTATATATTTATTTATGGGCTGCGCACAGAATACATATATACTCATATATTATATGGACAGATAGATCGCTGTTCAATTGGAGTCGGGACTTAACCTACTGTAGCGCATACGTGAATAATTCTTGTGGTATTTTAAATATTAGTCTTTCAATATCCTAACATAATACTACATATTACTAAAGTTTTGAATTAAAATATAAATGCAACGATACGACACTTTTAATTACATTACATAATACTACATATTACTAAAGTTTTGAATTAAAATATAAATGCAACGATACGACACTTTTAATAAGTTTCAAATACTTGCCATAATTCGAAATGGGTTAAACATATTTTTCGGCTGCCGCTTTTTTACGCATTTGCTTCGATGCATTTCCGTTTGATTTCAATAATTTCAACTTCCGGCACAAACCGGAAATGACAAATAAAATGCCATGCCATTCAAACACACTGAAAAAAGGTGTGGCCCATTTTGGTGTTATACAATTAATAATATTTGAAATAATGGCACTTTGATATAATGATTCATTTTATACCATCGAAATTATTGTGAAATGTATGGCTTTTAAATGTGTAGTAGTAATTTATGTATTGGGTAATTTAAAAAATATTCTCATAATACTGAACAGTGTATTAAAATGCATAGCTGTGGGTTAAATATTTTTCCACGGTTATTTTTACTTTGATGTTTGCTTAATTTTCATCGTCTCAGTGCCCACTGCCTGAAAAATCGCATAAATTACGTAATTTTCGAGAAGGCTTGTCTCTGCCCAAATCCGTGCATATAAGTTGTCGAGTTTTTTATTTTTTTTGGCGAGGCAGTAAATTTGCCGGCACATGCATATGGGGAATGACCATGAATTACATAAAAAGCCGCAAATACCGAAGTCAAAATGCGTGGCCTCAACGATTCTGTGTATTGTAAAGCATGCCGATGTGCATGCGAAGGGGGAAAGGCATTTGCAGCCCCGTTCCCTTGCAACATGCAAACGATTCAGTCAGTGGCAAAAAAGAAAATAAAAATAAAATTCAAATATATATTGCAATCCTTTAGGCACGCGGAACATAATGAAACGAAAATGCTACTGTGGCAGCAGCAGCAGCAGCTGCAAGGACAATCAGGACCAAGGACCGAGCTCCCAAATCCATGGACTGGCCGAAGCCGTCCGCTTGCCATTTGCCGAATAAGTAAAAATAAATAAAATTGTGAAAATATTTCTTTGCCCAACATTTTTACAGCCGCCTTGCCCCAATCCCCCCATCAATTCCTTCGATGACCCCGCTTGCCAACCAGTTCGCAGCCATTTTTGCACAAAAAATGTTTTTATTTATTCCATTGGGGCGGCCTCATACTTTTGCAGCGGCATCGACTGAAAAGTTTCGCTATCGTTCAAAATAAAGCCCTAAAATTTTATAAAAAATGGATATTATATTTAAAAATTATTGCTGAAAATCGATTGTAACTAAAACTATTTCTTTGAATATGACTTTTCAGAACACTTTTATCTCGAAGCAGCATGACCATACCCTGGAAATTCTTGCAAGTGGGCCTGCTCTGTGGCCGCCGGTTGATTTATATTGATGAATGTCCGTTTGTTCGTTAGTTCCGTCTTCGCAGTCTGCCAAAGAGATTTACTTGCAGGGGGCTGGAGGGCGTGGCAGTTATTTTACTCTTTGCCTTTTATGTTGCTGCACTCGCACGCATACATATGCATACACACACTGTACACTGTACACTGCACTGGGTGCACTTGCTTATGCTCAGTGCCAGAAATTATTGCATACTTTACGGAAATTAACCGCATTTCCATTTCTTGCACGCACACAGAACGGCTGCCCCTTTCCGCTTCTCTTTGGCTTCCACTTGTATACATATTTACAATTTTAATGACTTTATTTTTGTGCCGGCATAAAATATTTCCATACCCTTACAATAGGGAAGGTATGCAAGGATTTCGGTTGGAACTTGGCTGTATAAGGTTATGTGGATGCAACTTGAAAGGTAAAATTATACAAAATATATTGATAGAAAATAGAAGCATAATTTTGAGCCATCTTTATTCTAAGGAGGTGTCATTTATGTGCTGTTTAAAACGCTAGGTATTTCTTACTTTCTAATATAATATTTAATAAACATTTTTTAAAATTTTAGTTACACAATATTTTTGCTAAAAACTAGTGTGTTAGAGCTTCTGCCTTGCCTTTTTTAGGAACCTGGTTACATTTGCCTTGATGCTGATTGGTTCAGGTCCTTTCTGAGTGAGCTGCTGAACGAGTAGAGGGAATTCACTGAGGCAGCCGTAGTACAATCATATTTCTTTGTGACATTTTCCTTGTGCATTATTAATCAACCGGGAGTATTTTAATTTATGTTGACATGTACTTATTTGTAAAACGCAACAGTAATGCAAAAAAAAAAAGCATTTTAACCGGAAACCATATGCGAAACCAGACAGTCGCTGATTTCTCAGCTATTTTTAGGGGCGGTTATACTGACGTCAGCAAAGGTATTAGGTGTGCATGCTGAATTTACTACGCCCAGTAACCTTTAAGCTGTTAGTGCCGCCTTTTTAGTAGTTCCTATACAAGGAAGTTATTTTCTCCTATGCAGTTTTATTTAAAAATTTGTAAACTTTTCACGTGAAAAGGGAAATGGCAGCCATTGCACTAAGAGAGCTAAAGGATTGGCGTAAGTTGAGTCGTGCCAAATGACTTCAATGCGAATCGTGAAGCTTGGAGATGAATAGAAATCAGTGTCCAGCGGAAGGGGTGGAAATGGCTTGGATGAAATTAAGATAGGCATGTATCAAGGAAACGGATTCTGCAGGGGACTTACCTAATTGAATTCCAGCCAATCTGGCACTCTCGCTCGCAATGAATTTTATTAAAATCGTTGCAAGGGGCAACAGACCTACCAGGCTACGGAAATTGAGAAATATTAATAAAGCTTTGATTTGCATTCAATCAATGAAAGGCGGCACGTACCCTTTGAGCAGTGACCTGCTGCTCAAAGTTCAAGGGGCAATTGGAGCGCCGGATGCGTAATCTATTTCAAACAGCGACCATGCAAATCGAATAAGCTATTGCCGGAGCTATAGCCATCGCCTCTCAGCTGTCGACTGTCGGATGCATGCGAGTACAATACAACACAATTTGCTGGTGCCGCTGCCAGCTCTCCTGGTCGTCCTTTTTCGTCCTTTTGTCCTGTCAGGCCGTCTGTCGAACGGCGAGATGCATAGAGAAATTGCATATAAAATGCAGACAAATAACTTGCTCCCCATGTTTAGCGTATGCCCTAACGCCTGACATTAACAATGCAGCAGCAACAGCAGCAGCAGCAGCAGCAACAGCAGCAGCAGCAACATCAGCTACATCAGCAGCAACCAGCTGGCAATAAAATGTAACAAACACATTGACTGCTGACAAATAGCATTGCCTGTCAATTCATCAAAAAGAAAAGGCAGCGAGGAGCATCAGCGAACGCGCAAAACTATTGACATGCACACGCATCGCACACTTGAAGAAAATCCCTCATATTTAGAAACACAAAAGGGCTACTCTAACATAATTTCGAAGACTTTAAAGTATGAATGAAGATAATGTGAATGAAGTGAATGAAGACAAAAGCGTATCGTGCTGCAAGCTCTGGATTTTTCCTGCAGTGCATCGTAAGCGGATCTGATCGAATGGGATGCAGGATGCAGAATTCAGGAGGCGCATCCTTGCACTGCTGACTCGGCAGTGGCAATGGCAGACTTGCAGCAAATTTGCTTAGCTGCCAAACCAAACTTCGATTGCCGCGAGCCTGCGTGCGAGTGTGTCTATATAAAAGATATGCGAGAGACTGTTACAAATTGTTTTGAAATGAAATTCAAACTGCATTGGGAAGCGGTGCATATTGCTCTGTGCGCGCACTTTTCGACCTCGAAACTTCAAGCCTCGCCTGCGTTGCCGGTTCAAGGAGTTCCCCGTGAAAAGTTGACATCTTTGTGGGCAGGATCAGAGCGATTATTTGGTTATTTCAAGGCTTACATCTCGTAAAAGGATGGAGTTGGGCAAAACGAGCCTGCATCGCCTAGACCGGCGCCCTTACCTTTATTTCCTTCGTAACAAATTGCCTCAATTATTTCCATTTTACCCAGCCCCCGGTTTACTGGCCGCCTTTATGCTCGTAGCTAGGGTGTAAAAACTTTATTAAAAACTTTTGTGCCCAAGCCTTTTTATGAGACCTTGTCTGCCCTAAGACGGGCAGAGCCAGAGCCCAGCTTTATATACCTTGTGTATATGTAGGGATATATATTTATAAAATACACGCACATTTAGACGCCTGGCCGCAATACTGCACTCCAGGGGCGTAGAAGAAATCAAATTAAGAGCGTTTTCTTCGGCGAAACTTTTGCGCCTGTTTAGAGTTTTGTAATACTTCAGCGCCGACCGGCATCCCCGGCATCCCCGGCATTCCCACCTCTTTGTGGCTATTAAGGTTCGTGTCCTATCCGCTGTCGGTCTTAGCCCCATGTGGTTACTTGAAAAATGCTAAATGGTCCCAGAGCAATTGCAGCCACAACAACATAAATAGCAACAAGGCAGCAGCAGTTTTGGCCTTAAAGCCAAAAGATTGCCTGCTGGCCCGAAAGTGTTTGCCCGCTTGTCTCATAAAATGTGCCAAGGTGATGCTTAAAAATAGGCAATACAGATACAGATATTATGTCATTCTATAATAATTCTATAATATATGCATTAACAATTGTAAACTGTTTACAGGGTTCCAATCTCGCTAGAATTGGAGAGTATAACATCTACACTCAGCACAATTCCCACAATCCAGTCAATATAGTTTGAGATGTTATTATATATGCATGTGTGCAAAACGCCATCGCTCTGTATTCCGATAAGTATGTTCCACTTTCTTTTCGAAAAAGATATCTCCTTTACCAAGGGACTTCCTGGCTCTGTACAGTTCTTACTGCCTTTAAAGCCAGCGCATATCTGCGATTTCTGTATAGTTACTCCGAATGAATCGCGGCACTTTTCTACATTCAGGATTTCGACGCTGTTTCTTCTTTGGAAAATAAGTTGTTTGGATAAGCCCCAGCGATGGGCTTTCAAATTGTTCAAGTTGGCTATCTCACCCAGCCAAATGCATATCGGCAGTATGCTCTTTTGATAAGTCACAGGCCCATCTAATATGAGTAGAGCTATATCATGCTCAAGCGTGTGTTTGTTGTACAGTTTGTGAGTATAGACGCCTTGGACGAAGTGCTTTACATCTCTCCTCCTTTGATTGTCCGTTAAATTGAGAAACTTTCCCAACCAAACGACGCTGCAGATGGTATTTGTCCTAAGTTTAATATGGCTACATTTAAGGTCTTAACTTGCTTACCTATCGCGTTGATCGAAAACACAAGAGGCAGATGTCATGACATATTCTGAAACAAAGAACACCCTTACTATTATGTATTTCTTCAAATTGCCAGCATTGTACAAACGATTTTTAATAAGCACTCCGCTGCAGTTCCTTGTGGGCGATGCAATAAGTGCCATCCAAGGTTTCTCCGTTGAAACAAAGCTCTTCGGATTGCGACTCGAACAGTGTGAGTCTAGGAAAAACGCCGATCCTCGATGTGCCAGCCCCAAAATTAACAAGAAACACCACGATCCCGCAGTCATCGTTGTAAACGAACTGATTCGCACGCACTGAACCAACTGCAAAATGTGATTTATATTCAAACTCACAGAGAGAAGTTCAAAGCTTATCAGCAAAGTTGCATTGTTCTCAAAAAGTGGCTTGCTTCGCTATTCATTTAAATTGAAAAACACTCTACCATAAATGCGGGCACACAAATATTTATAATGTAATTTCATTTTGGAAAGAACGTCTATAAGGTTTGTTTCAATAATCTGAAGCGTGGGAATTATCCCAAGTCGGCACTATCATCAATATCCAGTCAATGTAGCTGGTTACATCGTTGTATAAACACGTTTTAAATTCGCCATTACTCCGAGTTCCCAAAGGAGTGTAAAGTAGTTTTTTGTCATAGCGCATAATTTTAAACAAGGGATTATTATTTTAGGGTTTTTTTTTTAGCCAACACAGATATGCGAACTCTGTCGATACATTTTTAAGGCATTTTGGCAGTTGGTTCGGGTAAGGACTTATATTTTGCTTGGCAGGACCCAAGGCAATATACCCTTCTTGTCTATAAGCCAGCGGGATGTTGTAAATCTTTTATACACTTGTGTGTCGGCAACAGTTTTGTTTAACCAAAGGCAAATAGAACGTATGTGGGCCTTATAGAGCACTATGTTCTGAAGTTCCAGCAAAGCTATGTCATGCTCGAAATTGCATCGATCGTAGAACCCGTGAATGTAGGAACTTTGCACCTGGTATTCTTCATTGCGATACTTGTCACTAAAAGTATGCTCATTTTGGCTATTTAACTGCCCCAAGCGGACGATGCTGTTGAAATGAAATAGATTTGAATGATAAATTATAGCATTTAAACGAACTTACACATTGCCTTGATTAAATATACAGCTGGCTGATGTTATCACAAATTCTAAAACGGAATTCCACGTTATTTTAAAATATTAGATTTCATCACATTTGTATACAAGCGATTGCGAATTATTTGGTAAGACGACTAGTGCGTTCCACGGAGTATTAAACCTCAAGCCACCAGAGTAAGAATAAACTGGGGCACAGTTCGCGTCAAGAAGTTGCCCCTGATAAGCCAGCATCCATGATAAAAATGAAAAATACACTGCGGAGGAATGCATCATTTTCCGAAAAAGGTTTCCAATCAACTGAACAGCTTGCAAGATTTGTTCAGTACCACAACACATGCGAGTTATCACTACTGAAAGCAAGCATATTATATTTATTTATATTTTCAAGTGATATGCAATCGCGAAATTATTGTTGATTTATAAATTCTGATTACACGAAGATCGACAATGCTATGTTGACCAGTGCTGATTGGTTGCTCCTTTAGAAGTTCCCGTGACTAGAGCCATTCATATTCAAAATAAATAATCCGCATACACTTTTTTATTATTATTACCAAAGCTAGTGTGGTGTTCTCAACGGTAAGTTGTAGTCTGCCCCCAAACAGCACACATGCACACCATTTTTCAGTTAACCGGAGTTTACAAGGTCAATTCAGTGGCTTTTGTGTGTCTTGGCCCCTGATCCTGCACCTAGTCTTCCGCTTTCCGCTTTCCGCTTATTGTTTTGCTGCCCAGCCGCATCCCTTTCAAGTTCAATAATGTCATAGAGCGTGTCGCAGGGCAGGCGTCTAAATTTATGGCCCAAACGGTTGACCCGAAGGCCGTGGGGCCGTGGGGCCGTGGGGCCCGTGGAGCAGCACGTGCTTTGGAGGCAGGGAAATAATTTAGCCAAAAACATGTGAAGCTCGCCATATAAATTATGCACACTCGCTCGACGGACGACAACACATGGGTTGCTTTAAGGTATTGTATTGTCTATCCGACCTGCCCACTGCTCAATGCAGGCCAACAACAAGTTCGGACATAACTCACCGCCTTGGCCCTTTATTTTATTGTATTTTATCTTTTGGATTACTTTCTGCCATGACCACAACAAATAAACTTGAGCATCTTTGGGAAAAACCCACAGTGGCGCAGTGGTGGTGCGGGAAAACTGTGGCCGGAAAAGAAAAGATTTCCGTGGCATTGTTGCTGCTTCTGCTTCTGCTGCTCCTCCTCCTCCATCTCCTCCTTGGCTCGAGTTTGCCCGGAGGTCTGGAGCTGGACAACGGCAACAATTGCGCATGTTAACATACTTGTAAGTAGTTTTTCCACTTTGCCATGGTATTTTGCTTTTTTCCACACCCTGTACTCTGGTCTGTCTGGCTATAAGCTCAAGTCACTCAGCTCTAATATCTCTGCATCTTGGGATCCTTGGCACATGCAGATTGCAAAGATGTTGCTAACGAAGCACACAAAAATAGAGCTTTAAATATACAAACCCTTACTCCTTAGAAGGAATGGTAAAGTACCTAATAAAATACATTATCTTAAACTCTGAGCTGCCTTCAACTGAATGCTTATACTTAAAATTAGGGGATACATCGCAGTCGAGTTCTTTTGTGCGGTATTTCCTGTACATTTTCTCTATTTTTTCCATCCCCCACAACGGACACATTTGTTTTCCTGGGGGCAGTTGCCTTTGTTTTTGTAATTATCTGCACGTTATTTGTGGGTCAATAAAGTTTCGTTTCATAGTTTGAGCGGTTGTCTGGCTCTCAGCCGGGTTCAGGATTTATGGCATATGCGTTTTGGGCTAATTTTCAGTGCCGCTGACCATGCCATTGGCCAGTAAAACATTAATAGCAGACCGTGCTGTTCAGGAAAGAAGTTCGAAATGCTTCTTAAAATAGCATCGGGCGATTTAATGGCAGCTGGTAGCTGGTAGCTGGAGCAAACACTCCTGGATGTTGATTAATTTATCGATACTCAGGCGATTGTCGGATGTAATTGTAGCTGCCTGTCAGGCTATCGTATTTCCAGAGATTTATATGCTGGGATGATGGGTTGGTTGCAGGGCAGAGTGGCCTTCTTTTTTTTGGCCAGTTTGGTGTACAACTCATTTGTGATAAATTGCCGGCAATCGGTGCTTAATTATTTAATAAGCTCGACTGCCAACTATTGAGCTATCAAATTTCATTCGCCCTAATTGCTGTTTAGCGTACTCGAATATCGCGTTGCCATGGCTGCGTGCCGTTAATGTTTGCGCAGCGCTAATTTTGCATCAATCATCGATGCATTGTTAATACTAATAATTGCGAATAAACAAATTGCAACTGTCATGTTTTCGTTAAATTCGGCTAGCATACGCATTTTGGCAACGCCTGTGGCTTAATTGATTATTACAGATGATCGGATGTGCTTATAACGCGGCGCCCAACTCCATTTGACACGTATCGTGTTGTGTTTTTAATGCAAACACAATTTGTCCACCGCCGATAATTAAAATACAACTTTTAGCTCTCGATTTGCAGAGCAGCCAGCGCGGTTTTTTACGCCCCTCCAAAACAGAAAGCGATTCCTGAAATCCCCGCCTCGCCAGTTTAGCCAAATAGTTGGTAAATTTATTTGCCAAATAAACTGCACACAAAAGCCAATGGCAGCGATGAGAGGCACTTGGCAGAGCTGAATTAAGCTGACCATGGCAAAAACAAAGAGTAAACAACAAATTGAAAGGCATGAAATGAGAAAAGTAAAATAAACGAACGCAAAAAAAGAGAAATAAAAAACGATGCCAGTGGCACACATGCAGGTGTATCCGTATGTGGTAACGTCAATTGTTTAAAAGTGAAAATTCGATTTTGTGGCAAGGCACAAGGCATCGGGACACAAACAAATGGCGTGCCAAACCAGAAAGCAAAAACTTTTCTTTTTCAAATTTTCATTCCCTATTCCCCAGTGTTTTTATATTCCTGTTTTTTTTCCTTTATGCCTGTGCAGCAAACAAATTTTTGGTGCCTCCCTTGTCGGTTTGTTTGAATTGTCCCTGGTTATTGTTGGCTGTTCCTCCTGACGCTTTGTGTCCTGTGTCCGAGAGTCCTGTGCGCTGATGTGGCCAACAAGACGAGACGAAAAGCAGTATAAAATGGCAAAAAAAAAAAAGAAATTGTTATCCCGAAACGTATAAAACAAACGTGGTCGACGAGCATAAAAAATGTCCGGCAGTTAAGAGTAGCAGAGTGTCCAAGAACGTGTGTCGTGAGCTGCATGAGAAACCGGAAAAGCGGAAAGGAAAAGAGCGGAGACACCGGTCGGAGGCTTTCCACCACTAACAAGAAACGTAACGATAACGAAAAACAAACTTTAAAAATTGGATTCTTCATTTGCATCGGCAAATCCAATCAAGCCAACGTAAAGACCTCGGCCAGACATATACACAACATAAAGCCGATGCACCACCAACTGAACCACTCTGCCAGCAGCACCACCACGGCCACCTGCAATTGGGAACCACGCACTGAGAAAAATATTTTATTACACAACTTTCTCGATTTTTATTTCATGGTTGCTGTTTGCTTAATCCGAAATATATATACATTTATATTTGTTGTACAATGCAATTTATAATTTACTTAGCTGATCATATGCTAATATATTCTTGCACGAATTTCTCGCCGTGTACGCGCTTCCATATGAACATGCCCCACGTTACGTATACGCCACCAGCTCAGAAAGGAACAGAGCGAGAGGAGCAGAGAAGAGCGGACACGAACAATAAATGAAAGGTGTGCGCCTCCTGTTTGTCCATATAGTTGACCATTGCTTATGGCCTGCCACCGACCACGCCCCCGCTCGCTGCGCCCGCCCCCAATCCGGCTGAAAATTGGTAACGATTTGTATTGGACTACGGCCAAGCATAAAAGAGGCTGAGTCCGAGTCTGTTTGGCCATTGTGAGAGAGTGAGTGCATGTCTGTGTGTCTGTATCGAGTGCCGAATCTTGTTTAAAAGTTTTGTCCTTTTGCAGTCCTGCTGCCAGTAGTTGCCCCCAATCTCTCGCAGAAAGGCGAAAGGAGAATGGAGGAAAAATTGTCTTATTTGTATGCCCGGCTCACCTGCCGTTATCCATCTGTCTTGTATCTTCATCAAGTTGGCCAGTATTAAGTCGCTTGTTGGTCGGTCGCCCGGCCTTCACTGCCGCTCCCTTTGCAGCATGTCCTTGCAACGTTGTGGTTTTTTGCGTTGAGCTCTTAAAAAACCCACAGCATGCTTTTTGGGGGGCGACTGAGGGGTTTATTGATTGCCCCGGCATACGTTTGCCATTTTATTACAAGCCGGAAAATAGAGCTGCAAAAAAAATTTCAAAAAAAAGGAAATAAAAATGAAAGAAAATGCATCGAACCGCCTCACTTTTGTTTCCCTGCTGTGCTTTTTTCCCTTCTTCACCCCTCGTTTTCTGGCCTCGTTAATTGCCTCAAAGCCAAACATTTGCGTCAGTGGCAACCGCATTCGACGTCGTGACAATGACAACGGCAACCGCCGCTTAAATTGCCCAAAACCGCGACAAGTGGCCGTGTCCAGCGATTTCCCCAACCCACCTCCCCAGGCGAACCATCGCCCCACTTCATCGGGCTTTTAACCGCCACCCTTCCCGGATTTTCCTCACCACGGCCACGGAGCCACGGAGCCGCGGAGTCACGGCATCGGCTTCAACTACGGCTCCGGCCCAATGGAGCGTATAAGAAAACCATTCATTAGCGCTTATCAAACGGCACAGACAGATCTGTCCCGCCACTCAATGGCTGTTTGATTTTGGCCCTAAACTACGGCGACTTTTTATGCCCTGCCAAGGGGTAGCATGAAGTTCTGGAACCTTACAATTAAATACTAATATTGCAGCTGAAAATATATTTAAGAGCATAACAGCTCCTCCACTTCCCTAGAGAAATACTTCGTTATGAAAACGACTAGCCAGGCATATAATTATTGCTAAGATAGGGTATTCTAAGCATCGGCGGGGTGACAGACTCTCGATTTTTTGCGTCTAGCTAGGCCTCTGCTGACGTTTATTGTAAAT